TACGCAGCGGATGCCCTTCCAGCTGCAACCCAGTACTGGGAAACAGCCATACACGCTCCCAATCACACACACACACACATACACTACGGCCAATTTAGTTCATCCAATTCCCCTAGAGCACCCGGAGGAAACCCAAGCCAACACAGAAAGAACATGCAAACTTCACACCGAAATGCCAACTAGCCCAGCTGGGACTGGAACCAGCAAACCTCTTGCTGTGAGCGTTAACCACTAAGCCACCATGTCGCCTCTAAATAACAAATAATAAAAAACATTTCATATATAAAACTCTGTATTACTATACAAATATAGAAATTAAATGATCGAGATAACTTTTTTGTCTTATATGTTTGTATTTGTTTTTAATGTTAAGCTTTTTGTGCTGTCTTATTGCTCGAGCCTCCCTGGGAGAAGAGATCTAGTATCTTAATCTATCCTGAATAAAAATAAACAAATAAAAGCTCAGCTCACCTACTCCGCCATCTGCTTTAAAACTGCTGTGTGTTTATTAAGTTAGCAGCCCCTTAGCTTCGTCTTACAGTAGCATAGACCAATAACCGCTATTAACATATAAATGGATTCAATTAGGAAGCCACAACAGTCAAAAATGAAAGTGTTAAAATGTCTGAGATGCAAACTGGTCTCTTCTCTCTCCGCATGTTACTCTAGATGGAGATGGTGAGGGGATGAAGTGGCACTGATACTGAAGGGGGAAACTGAATGGACATGTAAAAGATCTCTCACTTAGGAAAGCTGATATCGCTGAGGGGGAAGAAGCGCTGGCGCCCTCTTCTGAAAACAATTCACATTTCACAATTCAGCGTTCGCACAAGATCATCCGTCTGTTCACTGATCCCAGAGGAGAACTTTGGTCAAGATGTTAAGGCATGCTGTCATATAGATTTACTTATGAGATTTCGAAAGCCTTATAATATCACTATATACACTGTATGAACAGGTAAAAGTCAGTATTTTGTCATTTCTGATACAGCATAGGTCTCAAACTGGATTCCTGGAGGGCCACAGCTCTGCACAGTTTTGCTCCAGCAATCAAGCACAGCTAATCCAACTAATCAAGGTGGCTTGGATCAGCTGTGTTTGTTTAGGGTCGGAGCAAAACTTTGCAGAGCTGCAGCCCTTCTGGATTCCAGTTTGAGATATATGTGGTACAGGATTATAAAGCCATGTCCACACGCACACGGGTATTTTTATAAACAGAGTTTCAAGAGTTCACACTTAGCTGATGATTGATTATAAAGCTTGTTTGGCGTGCTGTCCCGGGAGAGAGCCCTGAGCTCATAAGATTCTCGAGCCCGGGGCTCCCTCCCGTTCGCAGGACAAGAGCGGAGTTTGAGCTCAGGTAGATCTCGAGAACTCCCCTGCTGTAGTAGCTAATGAACAGATAGTGATTGCTCTTTAGAGATAACTACTTACTAGGAGCATGTCTATGGTGCCGATTTGGAGTAGTCAATTAACTTAAGTTGCATGTTTTTGGATGGTGGGAGGAAAGTTTTATTTTTATGAAAACTGTTTTGTTTATATTTCTAATAATCTCAAAATAATTCACAATTCTACATCTCTAGATCCAAAGTTCTCCTTTAGGAGCGACAGCTTCACCAGAACTGAGCCCAATGTCAAATACCTCTTTATTTTCTTTATTATAATGAGACTTCATATTTCAGAAGAAAACATTTTATAATGCTATGAACTACCATTTAAAAATAAAATCACTCACCATCAGGGCATCCAAGATGTAGTCAACTTATTTATTTATTTATTTTTTGTCTTCAATAGAGCATTAAAGAAGATTTTTACATGAAATTGGGGTAATAAATTAAAAGTCAACAGCTACCAGCACTTCGATTTTCAATCAAAACAAATGAAACTGGTCTCATTATCACTACAGTAAACTGTGATGTATTGTCATATAATGTGCACTATAGCTGTAAAAACTAAAATATTGGGTCATCATATGTTTATATTTTAGTGCTGGGTAATTGCAATTAATCACATTAAAAAATAAAACTGTTTTGTCATAATATACAGTTGAAGTCAGAATTATTAGCCCCCCCTGATTAATTTTTTCTCCAATTTCTGTTTAACAGAGAGAAGATTTTTTTTTTCCAACACATTTCTAAACCTAATAATTTTAATAACTTATTTCTAATAACGACATGATGACAGTAAGTATTATTTTATTAGATATTTTTCAAGACACTTCTATACAGCTTAAAGTAACATTTAAAGGCTGAACTAGGTTAAATAGGTTAACTAGGCAAGTTAGAGTAAGTATACTATAGTAACTAGTCAAGTATAACAATAGTTTGTTCTGTAGACTATCGAAAAAATATAGCTTAAACGGGCTAATAATATTGACCTTAAAATGGATTTGAAAAAAATAAAAATTGCTTTTATTCTAGCCAAAATAAAACAAATAAGACTTACTCCAGAAGAAAAAATATTATCAGACATACTGTGAACATTTCCTTGCTCTGTTAAA